GATAGGTATACAAGACAAAAAAACAAACAGTGTTTGTATAATCCCTAACTAGCTAAGTAACCAAAAAACGGATTTTACATAAGTAGAGACCCTTACTATGCGATTACTCACTATAAAAATAAGCCACGGAAAACGATGCTTAATCTGTGCCGGGTGATCTCCTTCCAGCAGCACTCAATCCATTACAGCATTGTCCCAGCTGTGCTAATCCCATTACAATATTATCCCAGCAATGTTCAATCCCTTTGTAGTATTATCAAATTGAAATAAATATCCATAAACTTTGTAAATGTCTTGCTTAGGTTGTGATTGTCCTTTATTTCAATGGCTGTGAGCAATGTGCAAGATATTTGATATCATTCACCATAATATCGGTCGTAATGTTTGTCAGTACATGTAAAAACCCAATCATTCAATTATTAAGTCTAAAATTTTTCTCAACTGTAATAAGGCCAGCTATTCCTAGTTTTGTATGAGACTGAGGTTTAGAACGACGCAAAAACTGTTATACTAAGAATGTTTCCATACAAGTAGGCGAAAATCACGTGTAACTTACCACAGTTGTTTGTGCGACTCTTGACTATCTAACAGAAAAACCACTCAATTTTGAAGGTAAGTTAGATTAAGATTTCTATATGCTCTATCTGTCTTGGAGTTTTAGTATTAACAGCTATTAAATATAAAGATAGAGAAATACTATCTGTTCTTTTCTACTGGCATTATCTACATGATTTGCATAAGTAAATCTAGCTGTGAGCTAGAATACGAATTGCAGCACCACAACACAAGCACAAAAGTCTTGTCCTACTTAAATAATTATAAACTTGTTTCAAGTAGTATTAACACTTCTGCACTTTCGATTGGAGCAAGGTTGATATTGATTACGTAATACTTACTCTTACACAAACTACTGGTGTGGGTTCAGCATACGTGCTAGGTTTAATTATTCTAGTCTTTCTGATTCGTTTATAAATACAAACTAGCGAATCTCTAGAAACGCATCCCCAATTCGACACAGTACATCAGTTTACTACTGGGTCCAATTATGACAAGATGTTTTTCTTTTTTATAATCAGCTTAAACAGAAATGTACATGCTTGCGTACTCAAGCAAGTGATGTTCCTCAGAAGGGATAAGCTAAAAACAAAAATGCCACGAACCATGTTGCTGTTGGTGCTACCGATATATAAAAATTCACCTATCTGTCATTTTAATATAGAATTAAAAGAAACTTCAGAATAATCAGGGGTACCAAAAACATGTCCAAAAGTGGCTTCTCTTTAAACAATTTATGAGCCAATGCACATTCTATTAAATTTTTGTTTTACCAAGAGAGAAAACATCGCTGAAGAAGTCAGACATCTTGGTATAGGATTTCTTTTCAAATGCCGAAGAGACGCTGAAGTGTTTTCAGAAATTATGATTCTATAAACCTTGGAAATATAAGATTAAGAGAAGCCCCAACTTTAGTTATTCATGGCGCTTGTAACATCAAAATATGCACATGTTACTCATTACGGATGTGACCACTACAACAAATGCTGTTGTGTATCGCTTACAAGATGATGGATAAGCAAAACAACAGACTTGAACTATAAACGAATGTTGTTTTTGGATTCTAGCCTCGTGCTCAATGCTGTATAATAAATGCAAACACTGCCAAAAACTATAATTTTTACTTACATTTTTGGCAAACCCAATCACGCTAAGTGAGCTAGTAAACAATGCTAACAGTCAACCGGTATCGCATCACGTTTTTGATCGACAAGAAATATTTTCTGTCCAGCAGTTTTTATCGCCAGTCAAAGAATCTAAATCCGACGGATATACGGAGAAAACTAACAAAGCGTTGACCATTTCATCCAGGGTAACAGCCGAAAGAAATTACAATACCTAAACGTAAAAAATCTGCAATTCATACTACAGGCAAACTGTGTTGTTTTCATACAAAATACGAAATAAAACGTGCAACTTGATATTGGTACTTCATTAAAATGCTGACTGCGTAAACAGTAAGTGACGGCACACGTTCACAATCATAATAGTTTACTTACGATTATTGGTCAACAGTTTTAATCACCTAGCGTGAAAAAATGTTACTGAAATTTTAAACTTATGTGATAGTTACAGTTATTAGTGATATAAAACTCAAGTTATTGTAATCTTTATTGACTTTCATTTTGGTGGGTTCACAGGTTTCAAAACGAGGCTACATAGCACAATTTTCGTGTTAAA